TACCTGGACCTCCACTAACTGCTCTGTCCCCCTCTGCAGTGAACCCACTCGTGACCAGTCCTGGATCTGATTTTTCTGTGTGCTTTTCAGAACCCACTCGTGACCAAACGAGTTCCCCTCTGGACCAGTTAATTTATTATGTTCAAACTTATCAATGCATCTTTGAACTTTTCTCCTGCCTCTGAGTGTTCTGCATGTGGGTTAGACACCTTAAACCAAACATGACACTTTGTTTGTTTTTCTTTAAAGTAACTTTTTGGGTTATCTTGTATCACATTGTTTATTTTGCAGACTCTTTCTTTATGTAGATGAGTTTGTCAATTGGATTAATTTTATTCTTGTTTTTCTGTTTAGACTTTGTTTATTTTTATTTTTTTTTTTCTACCTGTTTAATTGAGGCTTGGTCCACTCAAGTGTAGGTGTGTTTCCACTTAGTTATATAAGCACTGAGCTCTTGGAAGCTTAGGTTTTTCAGACTGAAATGCTGAATAAAAGACAACAGAAACTAAAACCGGTGGCTGACCTGTTTTTTTTTTTTTTTTTTTTTTTTTTTGTTCACCTTATTGATCCTAGACCAAACTACCTTACAGACCCATTCTTAGTGCACAGTATTTTATTAAACTATCTCAAATCAGCAATCAATTTCAGCATAACAGCATCAGTAGAGGTGAAGATGGAGCAAAAGAATCAATATCCCATAAGTTTCTCGATTTTTCCAGGCTACAGCTGTTTAATGCATTTTTTAGTCTGTCTATGAATATCAGGATTTAGGTTTGGGCTTTGACTGGGCCATTTCATTACATGCATATACTTTGATTAAACTATCCCATTCTGTATTTTTAAGGTTGCTGTTGTCTTGTTGGTAGTTGTACCTCTACCTCAGTTTTTATATTTTTAAGGGTTTCCTTAAGGAAGCTTTTTTTTTTCTTTTCAATGTGCGTTTTTAATTTCTCTTTTCTATATATGCATTAGGATATCTCTTCAAAATATTAAGGTCTCATAATGATACCGATTATATGTCATCAGCATATTCTCCTGATATGCTGTGGATCATATTCTTG